CCTCAGCCACCAGGGCATTGAACTGAGCCCGCAGCTGCTGCAGCTCCTGTTGCAACTTGGCGCATTTCCCCTGGGAAGCGCGCACCTCCGTCTTGTGCTGCTTCTCTGCTTCGGCCCGGGTGCGCTGGATTTGGCTTTCGGAGAACTTGGCCAGGTTGTGCAAGTGCGTTTTCAGGTCTTTGATGACGGCGTTCTTCTTGGAAATCTGAAGGAGAGAGAGAGAGAGAGAGAACAACAACTTTGCAATTATCCAACTCTCCAGGGCAGAATCTTCTGAAAAATCCATCTTGGATCCAAACTACACGCTGTTAAGGATCAGTGGAGTAAAAGCTGTTCACCGCAGTCGAAGCTGGACAAGATCTGTTTGTTGAAGGGTCCAGTTCATCATCATTTTCATTTAACGACCCCATCATCCCTTGCGGGGTGGAATCTGGGCGACTGAATGGAGCTAGCACAGTGCTTTTACTGGCCGGATGCCTTTTCCTGTCACCAGTGTGGAGTTTTGTCCAGCAGATATATATTGTCAGTGTGCCCAGAGAGAGAAATATCTGCCTCTACCGAGGATTGAACTCACAGCCTCCTGATTGTGAGGCGAGAGCTGCACCTCTAGGCCACCACTCTCGTCGAAGGGTTCCCCTTCCTAAAAACATAATCACTAGTACAGGTATTCCTCAACTTAACGACCAGGATTGAGTCCAAATTGGCTGTGTCTGATAGGGGTCGCAAGTCGAGGATGGATAATCTCACTCCAGGTTTGGCATGAAAAGGTTATCTTATCTTGAAGCTGTCAAATATGCCAGGCTCAATTATAGCAATAGCAATCAGACATATATACCGCTTTATAGTGCTTTACTGCCCTCTCAAAGCGGTTTACAGAGTCAGCCTCTTGCCCCCAACAATCTGGGTCTTCATTTTACCCACGTTGGAAGGAGGGAAGGCTGAGTCAACCTTAAGCCTGGTGGGATTTGAACTGCCAAATGGTAGTCAGCTGGCTGCAGAAGTAGCTTGCAATACTGCACTCTAACCACTGCACCACAGGGGCTCCTTATATTTTATTATGGTTGTAAATCAAGGACTATGTAGTCAGATGTGCTTTTTATTTTTTTTAATCGATCTTCCCTTCCAATTATGTCTGGTTCTCTGGAACTCACGGACTCCCCGCTTCTAGCCTGGCGCCTTAATCACTAACAGACCTGTTTCTCAAGTGTTTTCCTATGATTTCTCTCTTTTTTTCTTCTCTTTCCCATTCAATCATGTCCGTTTCTTCGAGACTGCCCGCTCAAGTCCCTGCACTTTTCTTGGCAGAGTTTCAGTGGCTTGCCAAGGCTGCCTTCCTAGGGCTGAGAGAAAGCGACTGGCCCAAGGTCAGCCCCCTGGCTTGATGCCTAAGGCAAGGCTAGACCTCCAGATCTCTTAGTGTCTAGCTCAGGGGGTCGGCAACCTTAAGCACTCAGAGAGCCATTTGGACCCATTTCCCACTGAAAAGAAAACACTGGGAGCCTCAAAACCTGGGTGGGCGTGGCCAACTCAACATCACTCCCACCAAGTCACATGACCCACCCACACCCGCCATGCCTATCCAGGTTTTATGGCTCCCGGTGTTTTCTGTGGCAAATGGGTCTCCCTCCCTCCCTCTCATTTTACCTTCTTGGACCAGTCGAGGAGTGAATGGGAGGGGAGGGCGAGCGGCGGGGCCAGCCAATGGGGAGCCACAGCAGAGGGCCTAAAGAGCCGCATGTGGCTCCAGAGCCACGGGTTGCCGACACCTGGTCTAGCTGGATGCCTTCCCCATTACACCACACTGGTTCTTCTAGCCAAATCTATCCCCTCTTTTTCTTGCCTACCATCTGGCTTTCCAAGGGGGCCAGCCCATTTTGGCAATTAATTAGGTCCAATTTTTGACTGGCTAAGCGGACCAGGCAAGTCGAATCCTGCTGCTTAGCTCCACCACCGTACCTCCTCATCCCTGTTCTGGACGGCTGCAGTCAGTTCGTCTTCCAGGTTTGCAGCGGTCTCCGTGTTTTTCTTGTCTCTCTGGAAGACTTCATTCAAAAACCGACCTTTCTCCTTTTCTTCCAAGGGGGTGGTGAGGAGCTGCTCAAAGAGGAAACCCCTCTGCTTGGACAGACAAGTAATAAATTTATGGACGGACGGGTCCCTGGTGTGAGCGGCCTCTCTCAGAGCTTGGCAAGCGACCGTGTTGGTGTAAAGCAGGCGTAGAATATTTCGGACCGAGCTTTTAAGGCCTTGAACCTGCAATGTGAGACAACCGTCAGAATCCACCAGGCCAAAGAAAGTTCCTTTACCGGAGCCTATATAGAGAATATTTTCTTCCTCCGGGTGTGAGAGCATAAATTCCAGGATGTTTGAGAGCCGTAGATGTTCTCGGAAGGCTCCTGTAAGGTCAGGACCTAAGACAGCCGTAAACTCGTCAAAGTTCTCCATGATATAGGAGAAGACACTGACCAGTTTTATCTTGAAGATGGTTTCATCCAAGACAGATATGATCCTTTTGGTCTCGACAGTGCTCAGTTTCGACCGACCGGGATCCAAGATCCTTAAGGGGGTTCGGATAGACTTCTTGGGGCGGCTGGAATCGACCAGCTCGTAAGATGTGGAGACCAATTCTGACGTCATGTTTTCTGCTGGATTCTCCTTTGGAACGGAGGGATAGTTTTTGAATTTCCCAACAAGTTCAGGTGTTTTAGCACCTCTGATGGAGAGGATTCTGAGAGTAAGACAGTGCAATGGGCGGGGAGATTAACCTTGAGGGACAGGAGAAAGAGAGGAAACCAACGGTCAGATAAGAGGAATCTGAGTCCAGGGCAGAAATGTAATCAGGGAAAGAGTCTCGGACAGGAGAGACTCATTTTCTCCTGAAGATAAAGATGGAATAATGAATATGTAACCCTACATTATATACACACACAAGTGAAATACCACTCACGCATCATCACAAAATCTCCGAAAGGATTTTTCGAAATGACCATCAGAGCATTAGTATTTCCTGTATTGTTATTATTAACACGCTCTGATGCTAAGGAGTTCTACTCCCCCTCCCCACCTGAAAAGAAATCTCTTCCAAATGCAAAACACAAGCAGAGGAGAGGAGTTTCAGTTTCAGTTTCACAGCAGCAAGCAGCTTTAGTACAAGAACAGTTGAGCTAAGCCACGCCCAGGCTCCTTACTCACACAGCAAATACTGTTCTTAAGTGAATCATTGGAGTTATTAAATTAGTAACACAGTCTTTAAGTGAATCTGATTTTCCCATTGACTTTGCCAGTCACTAAATGGGATCACATGACCCCGCCGGGATACTGCAACCGTCATAAATACAAGTCAATAGCCAAGCATCTGAATTTTGATCACGTCGGGATGCTGTAATGGTCGTAATTGTGAAAAATGGCCATAAAGTCACTATTTTCCAGCGCCGTTGCAACTTTGAACGGTCACTAAGTGAGCTCTTGTAAGTCGAGGATCTACCGGTGGATAAAAATGTCAAATCTGGCTTAAACACCTGGCTGAGCAATCATAATAAAACTAGTAATATAATAGAAATGCAATATAATATAGTATAACCATTAAATATAATAATGTAATATAAAATAATGTAATAAAATGATCTCTTAATGTTACAAAATGATAGATTATTAATTCATATAAAAATATAAATACAAATATTTTTCCCCCTTCCTTTGAAATGCAACCCGCGCAGGAAAAGCATCATTTTTATCAATTTTTGCAGCTCACCCGACCTAAAAACGGAAAAGCTCCTCGGTTACCATGACAACGGCTTCACTTCCGTAAATTTAAAACCGAGTCCTCTCGTTGCTGGGTAACACTGGACCGCGCGAGGGGGTGGAGCTTTCCCCCCTAGCCAATCGAAGCCCTCGTTGCTCCCACTGTGGTCTTTCCGGACAGCCAAGAGGTGGCCAATTAGAGGCGACAAAGGGTCGGCGCCTTGCTCCTCCCACCTCTCACGTGCACCTTAAAGGGGCAAGGGTACGGTAGTTAAGAGAAGGTGGCATACACTTCAGGTTGTCAGTTGACCTTAATGGGAGGCCAAACGGAAAGAGAGCGATCCTTATCGCCTGAAATTCGACGAACTTTTAAACAGGCTGTCGGCCAGATACTCGAATGAACTCTTATACTTTATGTACAGGGCTCATTCTGGCCGTTCACATGGCGGGACCTTGATGGAGAACCGGAGTTTGCGGGCAACCCTATATTTCCCTATCTCTTCGCTGTATTAGAGGCGTAGCGCATTCCAGGACAGAACGTCGGGAAAGGGCAAGCTAACAGCGCATGCGCGCTCCTTAAAGCCTCTAGGGAAAGCGGTAGGCAGGGATTCCACCACCACTTCCGGATTCCAATGGGACGCTGTTTATACTGCATGTGGATTGAAGACTGTTTAAGAGCTCCTCATATCTTTCTCGCCGCCCTGCTGGTTGGGGATGATGCGGGTTGTGGTCCCACATCCTTCCAAGTCTGCAGGTTGGGTGAGGAGCGGTGCAATCCTAGGGATGAGAACTTAATCTGCATTATGATTGCCAGGCAATGCCTATAGCTAGCATCGCAACTTGCAAAAAAAAAAAAAAAAAGCATCTTTTCTTAATTAAAAAAAATAACAATGTCCCCCCACCCCCGCCCAGGGTTGCACGCCTCGCTTCCTCCCGACCAAGCCGCACATAAAACAGACTCTGCAAAAGTCATCAGCCGGCTTTGCATTTAGGGGGTTAACTGGAGGGGGGTTCAGCCCAACGTCGTCCCAGCCGGCTCCTTCGCCCACTTTTGTGTTTTGTTTTGCTAGCAAGGCACATTTGCAAAGTCGGGTGGGGGGGTGGGGGTGGGGCATATATCTGAAGCTGGAGCATAATATTGCAAAAGGGGGAAAAAAGAAACTTGTTCATTTAATGACCTCTGCAAAGCCGGTTTTGAGCCGACCACGATGGTTGCAAACCATGGTTAGAAGAAGGCTGGGTTGAAAAGCGGGGGGTGGGGAGGAAGAGAGGGAGGGAAGTCAGAGGTTCTCACGCTTTATTTACGCGCTGCCTTCTTCCCCGCCTCCTTTGGAGTCGTGCTGGGCTGCTTCCTCCTCCTCCTCCTCCTTCTTGCTGGACTCTTCCCTCTTCCTAAGTCGTCGGAAAGAAGCGCTGCGGAGGCCCGAAAACGGGGGAAAAGCCCTAGGCGTTTGCATCGCCTTGCCTTGCCTTGCATTTTCTTTTTTTCTTTTTTTGCAAACGACCCGGGGCTTTGGCAGACACGCGTTGGCCGAGAACATGGGAACGCCGGCAGACCCCCGAGACGGGCTCCCGCTTTGATCAAAACCGATTGCGAAGAGGGAGGGAGGGGACCCCCGTGCAGCAGACCCCGGTTAGGGAAGCCGGTGGGCTGCTTCTCCCATGGCTGGGTGTCTCGAAGAGGACGACGTCCCCCTGATCCTGACCTTAGAGGACGGCAGGAGCCGGAGGGTTGATCCGGAGGGAGTCCCCAACGAAAGTAAGTCAACTTTGCTGCTTCCCCCCTCCTCTGGGATGCGAAGCTGGGGTGCGCTTGGCAAGCGGTTCCAGTGGCTTGTTGGGTGGGGAGTGGGTTCTGCATTTTACAGCCCAGAAGAGAGAGAGACAGAGAGAGAGAGAGAGGCACACAGAGAGAGAGAGGGAAAGAGAGAGACAGAAAGAGATAGAGAGGG